TATTGTTGTTTGACTAATATTAAGGACAGACTTTTTATCTTATTGTGTTTTGTGTTTATTACATAGGACAGTGGAGATTTGATATGAAAGTGGAGGGAATTTTCTGCACACTTCTGCATTGTATCAAGACACAAACACTCTCAGAGCATGCAAGAAATATCCAGCTTAGTATCAAAGTACATGTATTTTTTTTATATCCCTGTTTGCTTGGAATAGATTTGAAAGAACAGGGACAGAGGTCACAGGAGTGGTTAATGAGGTATTGTGAAGACATCAACCTGCCACTCCAGGTCAACAGGCAACACAATGGCAAACGATTGTTGTGGCGTCCAAGATAAGACGCTTACTTCCTCTCATTGGTTTCTAGCACAACTGGAAACTACAAGTTGGCAGGCTAAATAAAAGATTCCTAACTGTTATATAGTGCTTCGGAGGGATTAGTTTACACAACAAATCCTTTCTGTATTTGTTTCTTACGATGTTTATGAATGTTTGATTTTTCAGACGTCCCCTGACAAGGTGGATTATGAGTACAGTGAGCTGCTGCTGTATCAGAATCAGGTCTTGAGGGAGGCGGGACTCTTCAGAGAAGCTTTGGAGCATCTCACCACCTACGAGAAACAGATTTGTGATAAACTGGCCGTGGAGGAAACCAAAGGTACATCAGTGCGCCTCTTTCTTCCTCATCTTCCACATTTTTTCTTCTTCTGCTTTTATATGATTTTGTCCATTATGCAGTTTTTCCTATTCACATTTTGCTTGTCTAGCAGATTGACTTCCTGTTTGTGATGCCCTATGGAAAATTCTCTCTCTTTTTACTTTCTCTCTTCGTGTTGTGGATGTGTAGGGGAGCTGCTGTTGAGTCTGGAACGGTTTGAAGAGGCGGCAGATGTGTACAGGCGACTACAGGAGAGAAATCCTGAAAATTGGTCTTATTACCATGGCCTGGAAAAAGCACTCAAGCCTGGTACACACACACACACAAAAAATTATTTGTCTGCATATTTTTGATCTCTCGTCTTATACACACATTAGTAACCATTTAACAAAACACAGCAATTCTGGTGTTTTTTCAGCAAGTACAGAAGAGAAGCTGAAAATCTATGAGGAGGCCTGGGAGAAATACCCTAAAGGCCTCGTACCTCTCAGATTACCACTCAGCTTCCTGTCTGGTAGGCAGTGTTTCCTAATAATACATCAGCTTCTTTTGCAAGTTGTACGTATTTGAATGAAATTGTTTCTGTGTTGTTTAGGAGACAAGTTTCGGGAGTGTCTAGATAGATATTTAAGAATGAACTTCAGTAAGGGCTGTCCTCCCGTCTTCACCACACTCAGATCTCTCTATCAGGACAAAGAGAAGGTGAGGACATAATCAACTTACACAGAACATACTAACTAGGGTTTATGTCCAGATGTGTTTTTCACATTTTGTGTAAATTGCAGGTGTCAATAATTGAAGACTTAGTTGTTGGTTTTGAAACGTCCTTACGGAGCAGTCGAATGTTCAGCCCAGATGGTATGTTGGTATTTTTTTCTTTATTCCATTTATTTACTTTTTTATGGTTTGAGATATTAGGGCCATGTCATGAGGAATCAAATTTTATTTTATTTTTTAAATAAAATATTAATCTGTACTTTAACTTTCAGAACACAAAACCTCCTCAAAATTTGTATTAAGTCAATAATTTCATACTGAACTTCACAGTTTAAATGTCACTTTTCAATGTTTTTTTT